TTGAAGGAACTATATATTATGTTATTGATGTTGTATAATGCATGAACCTCTACCTGACACGCCATGTAAACTATATTAATATATCCAAACATTAAAAAATCATGTATATGGTCATTACAACAAACAATATATTATATCAATCAATTTTAACAACTATATATTTAATTAAATGGTCCATTGTAATAGTCATTATTAAACCAAAAAAAAAGAAAAAAAAATTGAACTATACATCAAAATCTAAACCCTATGGATAAGGACAAATGAATTAAGAAGAACCCAAAGTATGAACAAGAGTGAGGAACAAGGGAAGGGTCCAAGAATTGGGTTTGGGTAGCAAAGTGAAAGTGAAAGTGATATCCAATATCCAATTTGGTTGGCCACAAACCCAAAAAATGCACCAATTTAAGAGGAAGACAGCCATGCGTGACGGAAGCACTTACCTATGAGTTGCTCATGCACAACGATGGCCTCCTCTCCTTTAAATCAAATAATTCATTTCATCTAGTGATGGTCGCTTCTAGTTGTCTACAAAAGGCATCCCCCACGAGTGTTCAATCTAGGTTGCCATTTCAACGATGATTCGAATTATCCAATTCAAATCGTATTGAGTTTGGTTAGATTTTTTTTTTCTTGATTCAACAAATTTGATAAACCTGCAATTAATTAGGGTTCGTAATTTAACTCAACTCAATTCTACAGTACTCTTTTAAGTGATATAAACATAACCTAACGTGGAAATGAAGGTTGGGTTGTGTTGTGTTGTGAATCCTATTTGAATCATTTGGATCACCAATTCAATCCACTCAACAAAAAAAAAAAAAAAATTGCTAATTCATTTGTCATCCCAACCCATTACATTGTGTTAAGGATTGTTGGGAGAGGAGTCCCACCAATGAAGCACTCTTGTATGAGTGTATAAACATCTCTCTAATGCACGCGTCTTAAAATTTTGATGGGAAGTTCTGAAGTGAAAGCCTAAAAAGGACAATATGAAGTGAAAGCCTAAAAAGGACAATATGTATTAGGGGTGGGTTTGGACGGTTACAAATGGTATTAGAGCCAGAGCCAGACATTGAGCAGTCCTACATCGGGGGAGTGTACTTGACGACGATACGTACGAACAATATCTGCTAATGGTAGAATTGGGCTATTACACTTTGATCAATAAGAAATGGGTAAATGACCAACGTCTCTTCCATCAACTACTTCACTTCTGATAGGAATAGCAATCCTTCACCATGGTCGTATTGTCTACTTTGAGCATAAGTTCTCTTGACTTTACTTTTAATTTTTCCAAAAGGTCTCATGTGAAAGGAGATAGTGTCATTGACTTATATATCAATCATTAGCCAATGTGGGACTCCAACAATTCTCAATAATCTCATCGATAAATATTCATGTTTGGCATGTTTTTAAATCAACCAACGAAAGCGACTAGAAACACAACAGGAATCGCACTTGGAGGGTGGAGCTCAAGCACGTCTCATACTATAGTGTACTTTTGTCTCGATAACTCTACAGCTCCAACCCATCTTAGACTCAACCTCCAAATAAATACTCTTTTCAAATAAATATTTTCCTAAAATTGACGTGAAACTCATGTTCAATTTTAAAAGTTAAAATTAAGTTAATTTGAATATAGTTCGATTATTTGATTGATAAACATATAAAGTCGAAGATATTTTTGCCATTTGCATCAAGCTCACACTTCCTTCTTGCATGCTCCTCCAAAAGCACACACTTAAAATAAGAGGTAAAAATTGATTTGTAGCATACTCGATCAAACCCGGGATTTTCTCACCTACTACAGATCTCATCATCCCAATTGCTATCGGAACACGGTTTGTGTATGAAATATCTATTTTTTATCTTCCTAATTAAAAAACCACATTTATAGTAATTGTAATAATTGGTGCTATGTTTGTTTGTTTTTTTTATTTAAAAAAAATCTCTTTTGTTTCCCTCTCTTTCCACGTCGTTACCAACGACAACAAGTATGAGAAAGATGTAGACATTGATGTCTTTCAAGTTCGATGATGGTAATTTTCTTAACACCAAAGATGTAGACATTGTCGACGACATGGTTAAAAATCTTATGAAGAACGAAACTAACACCAATATTGAAGAGGAAGTTGATAAGGATTTGGATGATATATATTCTATATATGTATGTATATGTATATGTATATGCATATGTCTATATGTATGCTTGATTTTTTTGTATTAATTTAATAAAAAGAAACAAAACGTGAAAAGGAAACGTGGGATGGGCCGTTGATGATACAGAAACAATTATATATTAGGGATTAAAAAGGGAAAAAAAGCAGAGCAAAAACAGAGACGATCATGGAGACGTGGTTCATCATCATCATTTCGCTCTGTTTCTGTTCCCTTCTGAACTCCATTTTTTCACACTGCCGAAGCTCCATCAACCTCCCACCAGGCCCTCCTTCCATCCCCATCTTCACTAATCTCCAATGGCTCCGCAGATCCCCTCTTCAAATCGAGTCTCTTCTCCGCACCTCCGTCGCCAAATACGGCCCCATCATCACCCTCCCCATTGGCACTCGCCCCACCGTCTTCATCGCCGACCGCTCCATCGCCCACAACGCCCTTGTCCTAAACGGTGCTCTTTTCGCCGACCGTCCAACTGCACTTCCCATCAGCAAGATCGCCTCCAGTAACCAGCATAATATCAACACCGCCTCTTATGGCCCACTCTGGCGCCTCCTCCGCCGCAATCTCACTTCCCAAATCCTCCATCCTTCCCGGGTCAAGTCCTACGCCCGTGCTCGCAGGTGGGTTTTGGATATTCTTATTGATCGGTTCCTCTCTCACTCTCAATTGGGAGAACCCATTTTCGTTGTGGATCATTTTCAGTACGCTATGTTTTGTTTGTTGGTGTTGATGTGCTTTGGAGACAAGCTTGAGGAATCCCAGATCAAGGAAATTGAGAACGTGCAGCGTGCGATGCTGGTAAACCTTGGGCGTTTCAACGCTCTCAATTTCTGGCCCAAATTGACCAAGATTTTCCTCCAAAAGCGCTGGGAGACGTTTCATGAACTCAAGAGGAAGCGAGATGAAGTCACCATCCCTTTAATCGAAGCAAGAAGAAAGGCCATCCAAAACAGAGAAAACAGAGCAAACAGAGCAAACAGAGCCGAAGCTGAAGAAGAAAAAGAAGAATTCGTGGTGTCATATGTGGATACCCTTCTCGATTTGGAGCACCCAGACGAGAAGAGAAAGCTTACAGATGAAGAAATGGCCACTCTAGCCTCTGAATTCCTCAACGCCGGCACCGACACCACGTCGACGGCCCTGCAATGGATAATGGCGAATTTGGTGAAATACCCAGAAATCCAACACAAGCTTTTTGCAGACATGAAAGGAGTAATGGGAGATGGAACAGGGGAGGAGGTGAAGGAAGAGGATTTGGGGAAGCTTCCATATCTGAGAGCTGTGGTTTTAGAAGGATTAAGAAGACACCCACCAGGGCATTTCGTGTTACCACACGCAGTGAAAGAAGACACGGTGTTGGAGAATTACGTGATACCAAAGAACGGAACTGTAAATTTCATGGTGGCGGAGATGGGTTGGGATCCGGAAGTGTGGGAAGAGCCGATGGCGTTCAAGCCGGAGAGGTTCATGAAGGGCGGGGAAGAAGAAGAAGTGGCGGGGTTTGATATAACAGGGAGCAAGGAGATAAAGATGATGCCGTTCGGCGCAGGGAGGAGGATGTGCCCAGGATTCGGTCTGGCAATTCTCCATTTGGAGTATTTCATAGCCAATCTGGTTTGGAGGTTTGAATGGAAGGCGGTGGAGGGTGACGGCGTCGATCTGTCGGAGAAGGTGGAGTTCACGGTGGTGATGGAGAAGCCTCTGAAAGCCAACATAATCCCCAGGTCTTAAATCGAGGTTTGTGTTTATCTTATGAAATCATAGGGAAAATGTGTTTTATTTTATATTCTAAATTAGTTTGTGACAAATATGAGGAGGTGGGGATTTAGCGTTCCTAAGTTATATTAATAAGACTTCATAGCTTCATAAATGGTCTTCTATATGATCTCTTATAGGATTATGAATTTGAATTCCGTACATGGTGATCTTGATATCACATGAAAACGTTGCTACTCATCACTTCTAAGAGTGAAGAGTATCTTTACAGACTAACTCAAGTCATTTCAACATGGGCCGACTGAAGTTCTTGTGATTGAGTCGATTGAAGTTCTTGTTAGTATAAATACTAATTTCCTATTCTTTTAAGCCTCTTTAGCCATCCTCCGAATATGATTTCTGTTCATTCATATACACTTCTTATTTAAAAACTTAAGAGGTCACTAAAAAGTTAGTTGCACCTTGTTGATATAGATAGTAACATTTATTTTCTTTAAATCTTATTTAGTCATCCTATCCTCAAGATCGTTATCATTTGGATATAGCATCGGTTCATTCCTGTACCTCTCATTTACTCGGGTATCATATGCCCACAAATTTTCACTTTGATTCATCCTTGACCCACATCTTACTAAGATGTGATACCATTTGAATTTGTTAAGGATTTATTCCAGAATGGAAATGACTAAAATAACATTATAAAAATTCTAAGATGTTTCAAGACTTTGAAGTACTCCAAAGATTTCGGAAGGTTTTGGAACCTTATGTATAGGACATTTATGACCTTAAGGGTGATTATGCAAGAGTTTGTGAGGGTTAGGCAAAAACATATAGATTGTAACAGCCACAATAAAAAAAAAATGTGTGGCCGCCGAAGATTCGCGAGAATTTCGGCGAGTGATGTAATTCTTGTACCCACCTCTTAGACACACTCTTCTGAACCCTCACGTTGCACCAAGATAAGAGAAGCACGAGACGCTAGTGACTCCGAGCGCATTCAAAGTAAGATGCTTACACTCGTAGTACTCATTGAATTTCCTTATTCGCTGACGGAGAGTGATGTTAAGGGATAAAAAGGAAGGTAACGTCGGATTTGGTTCTACATATCTTCGAACTCGTCAAACGCCATGGAAACAAGAGGACAAGCTGTAGGGAAGAGAACAAAGACAAATCTATACAAAGACACAACGAAGAGTAGAAACGAACGTTGTCGGGAGGAGAGAGAAAAATTGAAGGAAAAATCGTGAGAAGAAGGGTGAGGAAGATGAAGTCTGTAGACTTCGGGTCAGATTCGGATCAGGTGCCCAATCGGATATCCAAAAGTCCAGTAGCCCAAATCACACACCTGTAGCCCAGATCCACAACACGAGACCCACACAGCCAACATCACGACCCAACCCATAAAGGCCCAAACTGTCAGCCTAGTGTCACAATCGCACTTTGATGGCAAGGGACTTGCGATTGTGCAACACTCACTACCCAGCAACAAGTGAGTTAACTCTATTCATTCTTGCGTCGCCTACGACCAAGCGATGTGTCCTTGAGCCTCTAGTCCCGGTTCAAGAAGAAAGTTTTAGAAAACGGGGGCAGAGAGATTTCGAAAGAGAGTTTTGAAAGCAAGATTTAAGAAGTTGGAAATGGTGTTATATGAGAATGTAAACAAAAAGGCAACAACAACGGCTTACTACATATAACTATCGAGTAGGAAGAAGTTGACAATAGTCATATCCCCCTACAGTACATTTCGGGGCATTTTAGCCCTTGCAAGTGTAGACACGATTTTGGTGAACGGTCATACACCCTCATACTAACCCAATATGAAATGGTAAAGACCTATCTAGGATGAAAGCATGTAAAAGGGGTTTGGAACAGGCATGTAACCATAGACAACACGTCTTGGACAAGCAAGATTGAGATATCTGTCAACTGACTCGAACAAGTAAGACTAGGACATTTGTCATGCAGCCATAAGCAACATGCTTTGGACAAGCATGATCGTGACATCCTCCTCCACTCAATTGGTTGACGTCTCTATCAACCGACTCGTTACAACTCTGAGTTGTAGGCTGAGGTTGACTTTTAGGTCTCTTCAATGTGTTTCCAGTTGATTTCAGTGTTGCGGAGTCTCGTTAATTCTGTAAGGAGCTATTGAAAACTTTTTCTTGGTTTGTTGGCTTTTGGTGTCTCCTTTGTCAAAGTTTCTCCTACATCTTTTGCTTCGGGATTCTTCTTCTTTGTGTGAGGTTGTGTCACCTCTCTGTGCTTGACGTCTTTTACTTCGGAAGAGTAGCGTTTCATGTTACTAGTGTGGAAAACAGGGCTAGTTCGCATCCATGGGAGCAAATGGATCCTATACGACGCCTTTATGATCTTGTGAATAACTTTGACTAGTCCATAGTATTTTCTCACCAGTCTTCGACTCTTGTTGTTTTGATCTCGGAGTTGATCTGACCTCAACTTGATCAGAACTCTCTCTCCTTCTTGAAATTGTCGTGGTCGACGATTTCGACCGACCCTTCTCTTTCTCTGTCTTGATGGTACTTCTACGTGACCATGTGTTGTTTCTGAGGTTTGTCTCTGTCTCCCTCCCTCAACGACAGTGTTGGCTTGGAGTCTCTCTCTAACCCTTGAGTGATTACTAACAGTTGTATTTGAGGGACTGATGGACCCAACTGTTAGCAAGTCATTTAGCTGCTCGTAGAAATCAGCTAGCTCAGATTCAGACGTATGACATTCATTCGTGACAGAAGATTCTGCCCCTAATATGACATCAACCTTGCTATTTATCTTCCTAGCTGGAGATAAATACTTCGTTCGACTTCCTTGTCTCATGTCGCGATGTTTTTGAGTTGATCATGAGACTTTTGTTGAGGTTGACTCGCTCGAGCTTCCCTCTTCCGATACGGTAATGGTAGCGAGTGTAAGTTCATCACGGCTTAGATCCTGCCTCAACTGTAGTGCTGACATCTTTTTCACCCTTCCTGGCTGGCGGGTGTTTGTCTGGATAGTCGTCGGGTTTGACCCTGTTATTACTAAACTTTTTGTTAGGGGAATGGGGATGACTTTGTGTTCTAGTAGGAAGTCCATCCCTAACACGATATCGAAGTCATCCATCTTGACTATCACAAAGTCAGCTCGTCTCGTCCCGTCCAAATCCCCAGTTTGATAGGAGTTCTCTTTGCAACTCCTAATACGGGCAGGCTATTGAATTGACGGCCTTCATCTTCCCTACATCCTGATGCCAAAGGATATTCGAACGTTTTGCTTCGATCTCCTTCATGAAGTTGTGGGTGGCTCCAGAGTCGACGATAGTGTTTCTCGTTGCTTTATGATTTACCCAAATTTCGACATACATAAAACTGCATTCCACTAGCTCTTCTATCTCTTCCACTCTCTTCTGAAGAGCAGACAAGTACTTTAGTGCTCAAACACGGGGATATTCAACAGTCCTATCTAATGGTGTTTCTGTTTCTACTGTTTCGTACTCAACTTTTGAATTAGCTCGAAGTTTTGCTTGGAAGGCACATAATGCTGCCTTCTGTAGGCATATAGATACTTGCTGAGCCCCCTTACATATGAAACAAGAAGGGGGGTTGTGGCTTTGACTCTAACTAATCTATTGGTGTCTTCGCCAAGGAGCCCTACCTCTCTGTTGGGAGGATTCGTATTCCTCCTCCTTGTCTTTGGAGCTATCACTAGTCCCACCTCTAGGGGAGTTTGGTCGATAATTCTCATTTTCACCACTTGTGGATGCTCGATTCTGCCCCATCTCTGAGGTTTCATCGCTATCAAGATCAAACAATCGTTCGGCAACAACATAGTTTGTGGAAAGGGATTGAACTCTTTATTCGTAGAGTTTGGTTTTCACTCACAGCTTCAGCCCCATAATAAAATTGAAGACCTTGTCTGTCTCGGACATATCATGAATATCAAATATAAGCCCAGAAAACTGCCTAACATAGTCTCAGATACCGCCTGTATGCCTCAGCTCTCTTAGTTTTCTCCTTGCTGTCATCTCGACATTTCTTGGGAGAAATTGAGAGCGGAGTACTTGTTTCAAGTTATTCCAAGTGTCCATAGTACATCGACCATCTTGAATATTCATGTACTTGGACCTCCACCATAACTTTGCATCATCGGCTAGGTGCATTTTCGCCAACGTTACCTTCACTTCCTCTGCCATGGTATTTGTTGCTTGGAAGTATTGTTGAAGGTCGAAGATAAAGTTCTCTAGAGCCTTGGCATCTCGAACCCCACATTAGGGTTTGGGCTCTGGAACCTTTATCTTGTTAAATCGTGCTACACCTCCAGTTGGGGTTTCGTCCCCCACCGCTCTCATAGTTGATGGTGTTAATATAACATATGCGGAAGCAATTTGGATCTTAGACACTCTTAGAACATCAATTATAGTAAATAACTAACATGTTCATAAGTATTAAAACTCAAGGTCTTTGAGTACTAACCTTTTGTAGTTCAAATTCCTTTTTCCTCACGAACTGGTCTCGAACCACCACTAGTGTCTTCTTCACTATTCTACAGCCTCAAAACGGGATTGTAGAATCCGGTGAGTGACTTAACTTGGAAGGGATTTAGTATATATGAATAGAGAATTTGTGAGAGTTTTTTCTCAAGGTTTTTCCAAGAAAGATCTTCTATGTATCTTAATCACTCTATTTATAGAGTCATGTTTGCATGTTCATGCAAATTTGAGATCACCAAATTTTGACACTCAAAATTCCACTCAAATGTTTGGGATTATGTGGCAAGCATGCAAGTTTGAGTTTACCAAATTTTGACACTCAAAATTTCACTCAAATTTGTGGGGTTTATTTGGCAAGCATGCAAGTTTTGGTTAAACCAAACTTTGTCACCTTAAAATTCCACTAACTCAAACATGTATTTTTTTCACTAAATGAAGTCAATATTTTAACTTTCTTCATTTTAATTCAACAATCAATTTGAATAATTAATTTTAAATTAAAGTAATATTAAATAATTAATTAAACTATTTAATTAATATTTAATATTAATTCAAATGTCAGTCCCAATCAACTCAAACACATATTTGATTAAAATATTTAAATTTTATTTAAATATCTCAGATTCTCTCTTTTTGTTTAATTTGTAAATAAAACAAAAATATGTGTATGCGCATATTTCCTAATTTGAATTCGAACACTTCGAACTCACTCATCACACTGTTCTACTGTTTAGTTTGATATGAGCTAGCAGAGGGACCTAATAGACCTATAGATCATGGGCTCCAACGATCAAAGATTAACTGGTTAAACTTATTAACCTTGTTATCCAATATTCGTTAACTACTAGGACACTCCACTATAGTCTAGTAGTTGCACTCCCTTCACTATAGATATATTTTTGTCCATTTGATATAACCATGATTAGTAAGTCGATCTTTCACAGGTTGTTCGTAGCTAGAGTTGGTTCAATTTACCATTTTACCCCTGACGTTACTTCTTGTTCCTTATGCCTCACTAATTCTCTAATGAACAATTGGTTTGTGGTCCAACTAGTAAACCGAATCCCTCTCAGGCCAATGAAAGGGTGGAGCCTCTTGTTCAAGACCTGGAGTGAGTGCTTAAGGGAACTACCTCTCTTCTATCCCTAAAAGTGGGTAGGAGTGAATTCCATCTTGCACTCCACGTCCCCAGCCATTCACCCAGTCTTACCCTTGAAATGGGAGACCTATTGAGTTGGCGAACTCTAGCCACTCTCACCCATGAAAATCTAAGGATAATTCTAAATAAACAGGAGTTCATGGTTAGCTCAGGATTAAAATCGAGTTACCTAGGTCATCGAATGAAAAGAAAATCAGTCTCAACAGTAAACGACATTATAAAGTGAGAGTGATTTTCTTCATGGTCCGATCTTGTGGAATACTCATTGCATAAGACGCCCCCACTCACATGTCTCTACATGTACAATTTAGTGATCACATTGTTTTTGTCATATACAAAAGTGGGTCGCATCCATATTGTCTCCATGATAAGGTACTTAGCCTTATCCATGTACTATAGATCATTTTGACTATCCTTGAACTTGATTCACTCTTATGTCTCTACATATAGTTCAAGTAATCATACTATAGTCAGAGTGTTCTTAGTTTATTGGATTTAGATTAATAATCGTAAAATTCACTTTATTCAATAACAATCTTTATTAAATAAACAACAATAATAACTTTATTGGAAATAGAATATGTTTTGTTTACAAACTATGAGTTTTAGGACATAAAACCCAACAATAGTGAGGTTTAGTCTGGTGTCTAGATCAGCCACTTTGGCCCTGACCATTCTAAGGGATTCTCTAAAGTCTTCAGACAAATCTGAGACCATCTGGACGATTTTCAGTTGAGCATTGTATAAGCTCTCTGCGCGTTCCTCCATTCAAGCAACAGAGCTCGTCGAACAATCCCCTCGTTCAAAGATACTAACTCTTGTGGTCTTGTCTTCTAGGGCCTCGACCCTAGTCATTAATTCAAGGATAGGCATTGTTTCAAGGTGGCGTGCCTTCTCGTTGAACCTTGCTTTAGCAGACATCTCATTCATGCGAGATTCCAAAAGCCCCATTTCATCGGGAATTTCACTGACACAGAGTAACTGTTCTTCGATTTTAGTTAATCGATCAGCCTGGGACTTGCCCAGTTGTTTCTTGGCGAGCATGTCTGCGTAATACTTTCCAAGGAGTCGAACTTGACTTTGATACCACTTGTCACAATCGCACTTTGATGGCAGCGGACTTGTGATTATGCGACACTCACTTCCCAGTAACAAGTGAGTTAAGTCTATTCGTTCTTGCATCGCCTATGACCAAGCAACATATGCTCAAGCCTTGACCCCGGTTCAAGAAGACAGTTTTAGAAAACGGGGGCAAAGAGAATTCGAAAGAGAGTTTTGAAAGCAAGATTTGACAAGTTGGAAATGGTGTTATATGGGAATGTAAGCAAAAAGGCAACAACAATGGCTTACTGCATTGTAACGCCCATAATTTTCTAAACCTAATTAGTGATGTCACCCATGCATATATAATTAATTACGCAAAAGCTCATATAAATAACCTTCGAAAACACAGCAAAGTCTTTCGTAAGGATTCATAAATCCAAAAACAAATCTATCTCCAAAAATAAAACCTTGGGTAACTAAATTCAAAATGAATCTAAATAAAACAATATTCAATGCTTTAACTTAAAACAGTAAAATAGTCAAATAAACGTAAACTCTTAAAAATATCCCCTCTCCAACTCCCATGGTGTCCTCAGCTCCGCCGTCAACCGTACATTGGCACCTTGCCTTTACCTGAAAAATGTAGGTAGCACGCGGTTTGAATATTTTATGAAATATTGAGTAAGTCACCCTACTGTTGGGGTTAGAAATGCAAACACATGCAACATATGAGTGAGACCTAACTTTTCATAGACTTTACATGGCCTTGGGCGCTTTTCTATTCCGGGTAGGGTTGGATGTGTGGTACTCCTTCACACACGGCCCATGTATGCGTACATGGACCCACCAGGTGGGCTCGTATAAATACCCCCTGGGCATGGCTTGGTCGGACACAACGTGTTACACGTCGCCGGACACCAGAGAACAGAAAAGGGCCCGCATGATATCATAGCGAACATAAATATCGTAATTCATTCTTTCGTATCATAAAGGGGAAGAATCTCGATGCAAGTGACATACATATATGCATAAGGTCCCTTAACATAATTAACATGGAATTACATAAGCATTGCTAACATCACATATACGTTTCTTACATTTCATGGCATATCACATAACCTACTTTACATGGCATATTACATAACATGAAACTATATTCTAGTTCTATAAGCATTTAACGACATGACTTGATAATACTACGTGTATCCATGGCATCGATCATTCTTTTCATGACATATGGTCCTAGTAGATCAACTATCTTTTCATAGCATAAACAGCCAACATCATCCACAAATTTTCATAGCGTAAATAGTCAACAGTCAACATAATTCATAACTTTTCAAAGCATAAACAGTCACATAATTCATACATCATATAGTCATATCACATTAAATACGGTGCATGCAAGGGCCACAGGGCACGCACCATCATACAACACGTAGTAAGCTAACTTCGACAGTAAGGTCACTTACCTCGATGGCCTTGGTCGAAGTCACTCACAACAAGCTAATTCCAACGGTTAAATACGTCCTATAATAACCACATAAAAACTTAGGAACCTTTCATAACATACCATACCTGAATCTCATGCTATTTATTAAAATAAACTCCCAACATAATCTATCTTGGCCTCGGATGGTAAAACTAAGGGCATAAATGACTTCGGAAGGGTCGAAAATCGAGGTATCAATATATATAGCGATACCGAGCCGTCGAGCCGACCAACTAAGCCGTCAAGCCGAATTGCGGGAATTGATGGAGCCAAGCTGACGTACACGCCAAGCTGAGTTTCGCCGGTCACGCAACGTCTTCGACACAAGCACGACGATCCTGACGTCTATATCTTACTTCCGATCGAATCCTTTTTCCCAAATAGCAACCTTATGTTTCAAGAGAAAAGTTTGGAGAGAAAATGGTCTTCAAGGGATGTAAAAGGTTGGGCATAGGAATATAAAAATAATCTCAAGATATTTTCCAATAGGTATTCTATGGTTTTATGATAGGGAAAGTTAGAGAAATAGGAATGTTTCGATTAGGAAATAAATGTCTCGCAGGAAATCCCTCGATTTCCAGGGAGATTACATGAGAACATTTAATTATTTATTTTATTTTTATTCGATTTTATTTCAGAAACTCGAATTGTTACATGCATATAACTATCGGGTAGGAAGAAGTTGACAACTAGTCATATCCACCTATAATATATTTTGGGGCATTTTAGCCCTTGCAGGTGTAAGACACGATTTTGGAAAACGGTCATACACCCTCGTACTGACCCAATATGGAATGGTAAAGACCTATCTAGGATGAAAGCATGTAAAAGAGGTTTGGAAGGGGCATGCAACCATGGACAACACGTCCTGAATAAGCAAGACCAGGATATTTGTCATGTGGTCATTGACAACACACCTTGGACATGCATGACCGTGACACCCAGCACCAGCCTACGACCCGTGTGCCTCAACCTTCACACGCATCAGCTTCTAATTGTGCCACGTGCCACACTGGCAGTAGAAGTACCTCTTGACTTAGTTGGTTCGGCTCGACTCCGCAGCTCAGAACTCAGTCCCTCAGCTTGATAAAGGAAAAATAAACCATTTTTCATAGTTTCGACCATCCCGAAGTTGAAGTTGACCTTGTTTAAGGAAATTAAGGTCAGTATAAGGTTAAATTTCTCGATTTAAGTTAAATGGAGTTAAAAGAATTTGAGTTACTAATGAAACGAGATTGACTTTCCAATAGGGAATGACAACTGACGATATTTTGAGCAATTTTGAGTAACGGGATGCGAACCTACTCGAACTTAGGGAAAATGCTGGAAAAGGCCAACCAAGTAAGTGGCCCTACTGTCAGTTTTTTTATAATTGTGTGTTGTATGATGACACGTGCCTATGGCTTCGCACGTGTTATATGCCCGTATATGCAAACTATTATGAAATGATATGTATGTGATATGATACGTGAATATTATGTTGTATGGGATGAATTGATACGTTTATAATATGATATGTTGAAGGCATGCTCGGGTTATGTTATGTGACTGTTATGATATATGATATGTGCATGATATGAATTGTTACATTCGAAGGCATCTGTTAAGGATAGTTGACCATTCATTATAAATATTTGCCTTACATTAGTGGTTACCATATTTGCCCTTTTATTAAAGGCAACTATATTGTATTCATTTATTATTCTTTCATTTTATCGCTATTTCCATATTATTTGTAATTTACCATATTTCTGTATTCTGTAAATGATTATAAATAAGAGAACTCTCACCACCATTTAGGAGTGGTGGATTCAACAAACATCCACATGGTATCAAAGCCCTTTCGGTTTAACAACCCTCATTCTTTCTTCTCTATGGCTTCCAAATCTTCTTATCATCTTCTTCCTTTCAATACTCTAATCCATATGATCACCATCAAACTTTCTTCCTCCAATTATCTTCTCTGGAAAAGCCAACTTCTCCCTCTCCTTAAGAGTCAAGACATGCTGGGCTATGTCGATGAAACTATGGTTCCACCACCTCGTTTTGAACCAGAAACCTCCTCAACACTCAACCCCAAATATTTGGCATGGAGAGCAGCCGATCAACGACTTCTCTGTCTCCTGCTCTCCTCTATCACTGAGGAAGCCATGGTTGTTGTCGTTGGTCTCTCTACTGCACGTGATGTTTGGCTTACATTGGAAACTACGTTCAGCCATCAGTCGAAAGCTCGTGAATTGAGACTCAAGGATGACTTGCAGTTGATGAAACGTGGCACCAAACCTGTTGCTGAGTATGCCCGTGCCTTCAAAAAAATTGTGACCAACTTCATGCCATTGCAAGACCCGTCGAGGACATTGATCCCCTGTTTTGCAAATTTAGTCTTTAAAGATGAAAGTTTTGAGTTGTTTCAGTGCTCCCTTGAGTTCTCTGACTCCACTTCTACAGCATTCACAGCCACTAATCGTGGTCGCACCCATGGAAGCCACCCTGCTTCCTTTACCAACCAGCGAGGTCGTTCTTATTCTCACAAAAACAACTCTTCTAATCGAGGACGAACCCACTCAAGTGAGGGTCGTCGACCACCTCACTGCCAAATATGCCGCAAAGAGGGTCATTATGCTGACCGCTGCAACCAACGGTATGTTCGACCTGATTCTTCTCATGCTCACCTTGCTGAAGCCTTTAACACGTCATGTTCTATTACTGGACCCGATGCTGCTGATTGGTTTATGGACACTAGAACTTCGGCCCATATGACTGCCGACCCATCTATTCTGGATCAATCTAAAAATTACACGGGTAAGGACTCTGTGATCGTAGGAAACGGTGCATCCCTACCCATTACCCACACCGGTACTCTTTCTCCTGTTCCAAATATTCACTTATTAGATGTCTTGGTTGTCCTCACCTCACTAAAAACTTCTTTCCATAAGTAAATTAACGTCTGATTTTTCTCTCTCCATTACATTTACTAATAATCTTATTACTATCCAAAATCGTCAAATAGGAAGGGTGGTGGCAACCGGTAAAAGAGATGGAGGGCTATATTTGCTGAAGTGCGGCAACTCTGCTTTTATTTCAGCCCTTAGAAACAAATCTTTACGTGCTTCATATGATTTATGGCATGCTTGTCTCGGTCATGTGAATCATTTTGTTATTTCTTTTTTAAATAGAAAAGGTCATCTTTCTCTTACGTCTTTATTGTCTTCTCCATCATTATGTAATACTTGTCAGCTTGCGAAAAGTCATCGATTGCCTTATTCCCGCAATGAATGTAGGTCATCTCATGTGTTAGATCTTATTCATTGTGATCTTTGGGGTTCTTCTCCTGTCAAATCAAATTCGGGTTTTCTTTATTATGCTATTTTTATTGATGATTATTCTCGATTCACTTGGTTTTACCCTTTAAAATTTAAATTTGATTTTTTTGTTTTTTTCTTCAATTTCAAAAATTTGTGAAAAATCAATATTTTTCTCGTATCAAGGTATTTCAAAGCGATAGTGGTACCGAATTTACTAGTACTTGTTTCAAAACTCATTTACGTAATTTTGGAATCCACCATCAACTCTCTTGTCCATATACACCTGCTCAAAATGGTCGTGGTGAGAGAAAACATCGTCATGTGACTGAGACTGGCTTGGCCCTTCTCTTTCACTCTCATCTTTCTCCTCGTTTTTGGGTTGACGCCTTCAGCACTGCAGCTTATATTATCAACCGGTTGCCTACTCCACTTTTTGGAGGTAAGTCACCCTTTGAACTCCTTTATGGCTACACTTCACATTATGACAATTTTCATCCCTTTGGTTGTCGTGTTTATCCTTATTTGCGTGATTATATGCCTAACAAGCTTTCTCCCCGCAGCATTCCTTGCATTTTTTTAGGTTATAGTCCTACTCATAAAGGGTTCCGCTGTCTTGATCCCGCCACCACTAAGCTATATATCACTTGCCATGCTCAATTTGATGAAACTCACTTTTCTGCTATCCCTAGCTCCCAGGCCCAACCTCTTTCCTCTATTCCTATTTCAAATTTTTTGGAACCACATCTTCATCATATTGATTCATCCCCCCCTAGCACTTCATCACCGCACATTCCTCGATCCAATTCATCCCCATGTGATATTTGTTCTGACCTTGTAGATGAGTCTGTGCAGGTTGATACTTCTCTTGCAGGTTTCACTTTGCCACCCTCGACTTCTAATTCGACCTCTATTGAATCTCCTGTTGATTTCTCTTCTTTGGGCACTCATCCTATGATCACACGAGCCAAAGCTGGTATATTCAAGACTCGTCATCTAGCAAATCTTGGTATTTTGGGCTCATCTGGACTTTTTTATGCTATTCTTGGACTTTGGTTCCTCGTCTTGCCAACACTAACATCGTGGGCTCTAAATGGGTGTTTCGTATTAAATATTTGCTTGATGGATCCGTTGAGCGTTTCAAGGCTCGACTTGTTGCCAAAGGTTATACTCAGGTTCCTGGTCTTGACTACACTGACACTTTCAGTCCGGTTGTCAAAGCTACCACTATCCGTGTTGTGCTTTCTATTGCAGTCACAAATAAATGGTCTCTTCGACAACTTGATGTCAAGAATGCTTTTCTCAATGGAACTCTTATTGAACGTGTTCATATGGAACAACCTCATGGGTATATTGATCTTCGATTTTTCACTCATGTTTGTCTATTAAAGAAAGCCCTCTATGGCTTAAAGCAAGCTCCTCGTGCTTGGTTTTAGCGTTTTAGCTCATTTCTTCTCACACTTGGGTTTTCTTGCAGTCGCGCTGACACGTCTTTTTTTGTCTTTCATCAGCAATCTAACCTTGTCTATTTACTTCTTTATGTTGATGACATTATTGTTACTGGCAACAACTCATCTCTTATTGACAGCTTTACTCGCAAGCTTCATTCTGAGTTTGCTACCAAAGATTTGGGTTCTCTCAGTTACTTTCTTGGTCTTGAAGCTTCACCCACTTCTAATGGTCTCTTTATTAGTCAATTAAAATATGCTCGAGATATTCTTACTCGTGCTCAGTTACTCGATAGCAAACCAATTCACACTCCCATGGTTGTTTCTCAACACCTGACTGCTGATGGTTCTCCTTTCTCTGATACTACTCTCTATAGATCTCTTGTTGGCGCCCTTCAGTAGTTGACTATTACGCGTCCAGATATTGCCTATGTTGTCAATTCTGTCAGTCAATTCCTACATGCCCCTGCTGCAGATCACTTTCTTGCTATCAAACGTATTCTTCGCTATGTCAAAGGAACACTCCACTTTGGTCTTACCTTTCGTCCATCCACTGTTCCTAGTACGCTAGTCGCTTATTCGGATACTGACTGGGCTGGTTGTCCCGATACTCGTCGTTCTACATCCGGCTATTCTATTTATCTTGGTAACAATCTCGTTTCTTGGAGTGCCAAAAAGCAATCTACTATCTCACGCTCCAGTTGTGAATTTGAGTATCGTGCTCTTGCCACAACTGCTGCTGAACTTCTTTGGGTTACGCATCTTTTGCATGATCTCAAGGTCCCTATTTCACAGCCGCCCTTACTCTTATGTGACAACAAAAGTGCTATTTTTTTGAGCTCTAATCCTATTTCTCACAAGTGGGCCAAACATGTTGAACTAGATTATCATTTCCTTCGAGAACTTGTTATCACTGGCAAACTTCGCACACAATATGTACCCTCTCATCTTCAAGTTGCTGACATCTTTACAAAGAGTATTTCTCGACCTCTCTTTGAATTTTTCAGATTCAAGCTTCACATTCGTTCAAATTCGACGCTCAGCTTGCGGGAGGGGG